CATTGTTCATCTTTGCATCATCTTGCAGGTGATGGATTATTCTTTCCTGCATCCTCGTTGTTTTTAAGAGATCCTTTCTTACCTTTTCATTAGCTGCACCAGCATCTTGAAGATCTGAAACTCTGTCTGCACTTTCTCTTAAACAGTTTTACAAGCTTGTAATTGAGATTTTTATTTCCTCTGTATATCTTTGACCCTGCTTCATGCTTACTATTTCTTTCCTGTATTGCTCATTCAAGGAATCTGTCATTTTTCTAATCTCCTCTATTTTTTTTCTGTCAATGTCTTCTCTAGAAGCAGTTATAAATTCTTTTACTGCAGTGTTTTTTCAGATTGGGTTTACTCCCTATGTTTCTGTAGTTGCCTCTTTACTTCAGATCCCAATATTTCTGAGAATTCTTTTTTTATTTCAGAAAAGAATTACACTCTGAATTCCTCTATAACTTTCTGCTGTTGCTTATTTACTATCAACGCTACAAATTCATGCATTTGAGCCGAGTAGTGTCCTTTGCACTTGTTCTGAGTGGGCATTTCGTTTCCTCCATATGTTTCTGCATTTGATTCTTTACTGCAGATGTTATTAATTCAGGGATTTCTTTTTTTATTTCCTATCTGAGTACCTCTATACCTTTCTTCAGCTGTTTCTTTATTTCAGAAGCCATTGATTCATTGCTTTCAGCTGTGTGATTTCCAATTTATTCTGTGTTAGTGTCCTCTGCACTTGTTATCTGTGGGCTTGGGTTCTGAGGTTGCATTTTGTTCCTTCTTTTTGTTATTTTGTGTAGCACTGTCTTCTGACCTTTGTTGTAGATCTTCGTTGTAGTGATAACCTTAGCACATAGTGAAGTTCAGGTGTAGATCTACAAAGTTTGGTTTTATCCAGCTGTGCCTGGATTGGATCTGGGTGCTGTGCTCAGCTCCTTCCTGCTGCTGCCCTTGGGGTGAATCTGTTGTGCTCCTCTGGCAAATTTTTCTGCTCCTGGACTAGCTGGGTGGTTCTAATGTCTACACTCTCTCAGGGGATTACAGCTGCAGGGTTAAACCCCAGGCCTGTATGCCAGGCCTGAGCTGAGCCTGGAGGGGACAAGTTAGAGTAGGGGGGAGAGGCAGCTCTCCCACACACTCACCATGTCTGGGGTTCCCAGAACGTGGCAGCAATTCCTACTTGGTGTGTGGTGTGGGGGAGGTCCTGTGGAGTGTTCGGGGGCATCCCAAGGTGATGGAAGAGGGTCTCACCCATGCTATGCCTGGGCTGGGACCAGTAGTAGGTCCCGCAGGTGCAGGGTAGCAGGAAGCTCTGCCACACAGTATGCTCTGGACTCAAAGGACCTGGGCTAGGACTCGGTCAGGGTGTTCCTGGAACAGGCAGAAATTCCTACTTGGTGGGCGAGGTGGGGAAGGTGCTCTGGAGTTTTGGTGGGGCATCACAAGGGGGTGGAAAAGGTTCTCACCCATGCTGCACCAGGGCTGGGACCAGTAGTAGGTCCCGCAGGTGCAGGGTAGCCACTTCTGTTTTTATCTTTATACTTTTCTCCCTTCTTTTGGCTTTGGCCTTAACTTGCTCTCATTGTCCTAGAATACTCCTCCTCCCCCTCCTCCCCCTCCTCCTCCTCCTGCTCCTCCTCCTCTTCTTCCTCCTCCTCCTCTTTCTCCTCCTCCTCCTTGCTCTCATTGTCCTAGAATCCTCCTCCTCCTCCTCCTGCTCCTCCTGTTCCTCCTTCTCCTTCTTTTCCTTCTCCTTCTTGTCCTTGTCCTTGTCCTTGTCCTTTTCTCCTTCTCCTCCTTCTCCTTCTCCTTCTCCTTCTCCTTCTTCTGTATTTAGGACAGGGTCTTCAGGGTCTCACTGTGTAGATCAGACTTGTAGTGATTCTCCTGTTTTTAGCCTCCCAATTGTTGGGATTACAGGCACATTCCACCAGGCCTAGTCTCAATCGCCATCTCAGTATGCTCTGGGGGTGGGGTCATACACCGGGAACCTAACACTGGCTGCTGTGTCCTGCCTAAGTAGGCCCTTTAATCTACTGAGCTATCAGGCTGGCCCTCCTAGAAACTTAAGGGGAGCATAAGATTGCTTTTTTATGCTTCCTTTATTTTCCTGATGTGGGAACTCACCACTATATATTCCCCTCTTATGACTGCTCTCTTGGTGTCCCTCAGTTCCAGTGATTTCTATCTGTATTTTCATTTGATTGGAAATATTTTTTTAATTTCATCTGGAACATATTCATAACTTAGGAGGATGTAAATCCCCATAATTTTATGGAGTTTTAAATTTTTTCTGTCAATAATTTTCAGTTTCATTGCACTATGATCATATAATATGCATGCGATAATTTCAATTTCTTTGCACTTACTTAAACCTGCTCTATGTGCTAGTATATGATCTGTTTTAGAGTATGCCCTATTTGTAACTGAGAAGAATGTATATTCTAATGTTTTGGGTGGAATAATCTATAAAGATCTAGTAGGTCCATTTGTTTACAAGTTTGGTTTAGTTCCATTCTTTGCTGATTTTCTGTCTAGTTGATCTATCTCTTTGTGACAGTGAGGTGTCAAAGTATCCTGTTACAACTTCATTACTGTTTATTTAATTTTTCATGTTTATGAAAATTTTTCTTATATAGTTGGGTGCTCCTACATTTGGTGCATACATATTTATGATTATTATGTTTTCATCTTGCAGCTTACTCTAATAGGTATGTAGTGACTTACTTTATATCTTTTGATCATTCTTGGTTTGAAGTTCACATTGTCTGCAAACAGAATAGCTACCCCTGCTTTTTCTGGGTTTCTAGCCACTCTCAGTATCACTAATATCAAGAATATATAAAAGCCCCCGACATTTATTTCCCAAATTAAAAAACCCTATCCAAAACTGAATATCTGAAATAGACACTTCTCAGATGAAGAAGTATAAATAACCAAGAAATATATGAAAGCTACGTAGCTGGATACTCAATAGGTGTGAATTAAAACAATGCTGAGATTCCATCTTTCCCTAGAAAGAAGGACTATTATCAAAAAATCAATGAACAACAAATGCTGGCAAGGATGCTGATGGGAAAAGGAATCTTTCTCTATTGTTAGTGGGACTGTAAAATGGTATGACCACTATAGAAGAGATTTTTCAAAAAAAACCCTGAAACTAGAGGTTTCATTAGACTCAGATAGTTTCCTTGTAGATATTTTTTCAAAAGAGTTAAAATCATTATGGGGTGGTGATACACACATATCCATGTTTATAGCAGCATAATTCAAAATGGATAAATCTTATAAGGAGCCTGTATGTCCATCACAGATGAATGGTTAAAGTTTTTATAAAGGATGAAATCACTTTTAGGTAAATGTTTGTACCTCAACATCACAATCTTAAATGAAATAAATTAGGCATACAAATTTAAATATCACATTATTTTACTACTATAAGAAAAAATAAGAGAAGGATTAAATGGGAGAGATATTAGGAAGCAAGAAGACCTTGTTCAAATGGAAAGAGAAATAACAGATGGGGGAAAGAAATGGAGATAAGATTTCAAGAAAAAATGGAAATATAGTTTTTGTAATTGGGAGACAATGAATAATTGGAAAGTAAGGAGTGGACAAAAAAACACAAACAATTAAAATGTGCTATGTATAAGTACACATTCCCCGATGAAAAATATGAAGAATGTTCATATACTGCAAATGTGTACTTATAAGAAAAATGGAAGAAAGAATAGGAGGCTGGGAAGATGGCATGACAGCCTAAGTACCTGCCTGGCAAGCACAAGGTTCCAAGTTTAACTCCTGGTACCATAGGCATGCAATGCCTGTCCAGAAACCAGGCATGGAGGCACATGCCTATAATCCCAGAACTGAGGAAGCTGCAACAAGAGTATCACTATGACTGTAAACTACATAGCAAAACCATGCATCAAAAATAAATAAATGAAGTAAGAGGAGTTCCACCTCCATCTCCAGCAACACACACACACACATATACACACACAGTAAATGATAACAATGAATGTTATAACTTTATATTGTTATCTCATGTAATCTTCACAGTAGGAAACAAATGTACTCTTATCCCCCATTCCCATACAGTTGAAGCACCTCAGACAGATATAGTAACTTGTAAAATGTCAATCAGAGGTAATATTTCATTCTATCTACTGTGATCTAAATTGTGCAATCCATTGAACCAAAAAATAACATTTACTTAATTCTTCACAGAAGAAAAGTGAGATCCTGTGCTGTGGAGTAGTTAACCACAGTATATTGTGAAGAGCTCTTTTCTGCCTACTCCAATCTCCAACACTTAATGGGTTTTATGATCCATAATATTGAATCTCTGAAGCCAATGAACATTTCCATTTCTCTCTTACCATGTAGAGTCCAACTAAACTTATTTTGCTCCTCCAAATATATAGGTTACACACCACTAATAAGCAAACTAAAATTTTGTACCTAAGTGAAAGATATTGATTAAAGTAATGAATATGTTTACATTTTTTAAAAAATTGATTTCAAATAACTTACTCTGCCTGTATCACAGGAGGTGCCATTTGGAATTTGGAGTAGATCTTTGGGGCCTGGGAAGAGTGCAGTTATACAGGAATAATTTTGTATGCGAAAATAAATTGCAGTAGCATTGGTAGCAAAGAAAGGAATTTTAGAATTATAAGTACAAACCAATCTTCCACAGTGAAAATTCCTGCAAACATAATAAATGATATAATTATTATTTATTAAGCATTTATGAGAAATGATTTTCATTTTTATTTTTTATTTTTGACAA